GGCATGGTTTTTTTTTTTAGTTGGTTCAATTAGACATGGTGCACTTACCTTATTCTCAAGTTTAAGCATGACTGCGTTTGGCATGCTAATCAAGTATATAGGAAATGTTTTGTTCACAAAATCCTAATTACATGATTCTTTTTTTGCCATGGTTTTTATTAACTCCGATCAGCCACCTAAAATTTCTTGCAGCCATCATCATATTTCATTTTCCTTTAATTATGTACTCTTTGTATGCTGAAAGCTTATTTATAAAGTTACTCTAAATGTTTTGACCTTTATTTATGTTGATTGCTCTTTACATGGCCATTCCTGTTGGAGTGGTTAAAACTGAGCCTTAAGTGGTCACTTTAAGCTCTTAATCAGAGTTTAGAGGCTATTTATTCTTCTTGTTAGAAATCTGTAATTCTGCTTACTGGGATCATTATACTTACTATGCGAATCACCTCTGAATCCATGCTACTTGCAGATGAGCATTGGAAAGAAATGGAAGGAAATCATTGATGTTCAAGACAAAATCTTTTACACCTCCCATGTATGTCTTTGATTTGCTCTTTTTCTCGTGCTTATGCATGCTGCTGTTGACATTCAGTTTTATGCTCTTTTTTCCAATAAATTTTTTATTCAACGTGTTTCTGGTAGGCACCAAGTGACTTAATACTCAGCTAAAAAAAGACTCTAAACCAGGACCATGGAAGACCCTCCAACACTATCCCTTTCTCCCTCCTTAGAATCTGAAAATCAATTGCTGTACCAGGTTTTCGTTGATATTGTTAAGCATACTTCATTATTGCTTCAAAAAATGCAGCCTTAGCCTTTCCAAGTTTTGAGTAAAGATAAAAGCTGGTACCATTGAACATACTAGTAATAGTCTTGTAACTTAGTTATTTTGGGAAGTAACTGGTATATAGGCACATCGTTTTCCAAACCTGCCCCTGATACTATGCTTTCCAACTTAATGCTGTAATATGGAAATCTTCTCCATACTATAAGCTCTACTTCACTTGCTGTCTATGTACTCCTAATTTTCTATGTTGATGAAATACAACAACATAGGGCAAGGATTCGTCCACTTGTCTTTCGAGGCAAATTGGCACTAGACGTCTGTTTTCCTAAGATGCTAATGAAATGTCAGCATGATGGCATCACATTTCCTTCATTGTTCCCTTAATTTTGACATATTTACCACCATTTTCCTTTCTTTGGTTTGGCAACTTGTGACCAACTGGCAAAGAGAACTCTGAACTCTCCCTTTGCCCTGAACGTTTATGTGGTGGTCTTGTTTTTGCTTTTCTTGATTGTCCGGATCAGCTTCAAGGTTAACAATGGCCTAAGATGGTCACTTTCATGATGGATCTTATTTTGTTCCGGAGGTTTTTGCTGTTTAGAATTTGCTACCCACATGCAGGCACCCCTTTAAGATTGGATCCATACTGCAGTAGTTTTCTGATGAAGGTGTTATTCTTCATGAGATGTTACCAAAACTCCTGCTTATTCTAGTATCACCATTTTATTTTCTTCAAATTAGGAATAATTTGTAGTGGCTCACTAAATGATTTTGTGCACAAATATCTGACCGCAATTTCTATTCGAGTATTTCAGTTATTTTCTCCATAAAAAATGCATTTACATATATTTTATGGGTATTTCCGGCATTAGTCTCTCAAATCATTGAAATTGCTGTTAGTCTTCCCATCTTATGTCTTGCGACTGCTCTACTTCAATCAGAGGGATTAATTTGGTACGAGATCTAATAGCCAGTTTCAGTGATTTTGAGTGCGTAATTTTGAAACAGAGGTAGCAATTTCAATAACATGAGGTAGTAATATTATGAAATATGTAAAGGACTAACATGGAAAGAACCCATATTTTATAAAATAATAAGGCAAAAACTAAGATCTTTTAGCCTTTATTTGATCCCCCCTCCCCTCATTTTATCTGCACTTACTGCCTGTCTCATGCAATCGGGTTACTTTGGGTTTATTTGCAGGACGATTCGAAGAGTAGAGAGAAGTCAAGCCGAGGTGGACGATACAGCGTGTAGGTTTTGTTGTATCTTTCGGGGCGACGATCTCTTTGAAATTTTCGGCGAACTCAGCCAACATGAATTTCTCTTTGCCGAATGTTGTAGACGTCTATGGATGAGTTTAATGTTGTTTTCTGTGCACACACCCTCCTCATGGGTAAATTCTCATGTCACCTTAAGAAAAGATTGATTGTGGAGAGGGATTGCTATCCGATGCCTTTGTATTGCTTTATTACCAGTATCTGAGGTTTTTTAACCTTCACTAAAATATGGAAAGTATGAGTTGGACTTGATGGGATTTTGGACGCATTTCTTCACTTTCCACCAAAGTGCTCGCTTTTGCAAGAACTTCATTGTGATGAGCTATGACTCTTATGGGTGATAGCTCAGCAGTGTCCTGGTTAAGTGGTTATTGAAAATGCAATCAAATAAAGAAAGTGGAAATTATAGTTTAGAAAAATGCCTAATATGCTTTCCCAATTTCTTCTTCGATAATTGGTCTTAAGATCAAACTGAAGTAGCTTCTTCCCCAAGGGAGAAGTCTTACAAATAAAATTCACCCGTCGTTGAAGAGAAGCAATATTGAGATATAGACTTTTTTTTTCCTTTTCCTCACCCCTATTCTCATAATGCTACATTTGGACCCTATATATTAGATTAGACTTTGTCTCATAGATTTTTAGTTTTAAACAATTTCTAATTGTTCAAAACCCTATCCGTAATAATTAGGGAAATAGAATTGTACTGTATGTAAACATCTTCTATTGACATTAGTGAGACAACTGGTGACATATTGAGAATCAATTATTTTAATCAAATTAATAATTTATTTTAACAATCAAATATTTATCCGACTAATTGCTCACAAAAGCTCTTTCATAATATGATATTAATTATTTATAGGTAATATCTTACATGCAGCACCCTCCAGCGTCATTCATTTTAGATAAATTTTTGAGCAGGATAATTCACCTATATGCTCAGGCCTAAATTTCATCAATTAAATCAAAATTTTCTAAACAACTCGTGACTTGTATTAATAGACAAGTGTCGAAACTGATAGTGACTGTACTGATATATTAGATGTCGCTCAATCCTTCTCGTTATTTATACGGCATTTTATGAATGTCCTCTGAAGTAAATTTTTTTCTTTTTTTCCCCCTCCAATGCGACCTATGCATCCATATCATGGAAAATGTGATTTTGTCAAAAAGGAGAAGGGAATAGCATGTGATCATGAATGAAGCTCATTAATTATTATAGTTGTAATAATAAGAAGGAAAGCTTTGAGACAGTACTCTTCCCTCTTTTTGTGTTGCTTATCATAAAAAAGCAATTGTCTCTAAAAAAAAACAATAACAATTAAAATTTTGAAGTATTTGTAGCCATTAGGACCTACATAGCACTAGTAGGAGTAGCTGTGGGTGAAGGGTTATGGCCACAGTGCTGTCTTTTATTATCACTTAAAAGCTTTGTGATGATGAATGCGGCGTATTAAATGTAGTTTTCACAAATATAGCTGACCATCTAAAGAGATAATATTATTTAAAAAGGAAAAACGTAAAGAGAAAATTGCAATTAATTTACTTTGGTGTCGCAAAGGGTGGAGTAAAGAATCAACATACTTCATCAGAACAGATGAGATGTTCAAACTTCAAAGTGCTCGCAGAAGCAATTCATTTATGACTAGAACCCATGACCGAAGGCGGTTTACTTTATTCTTTTCTGGGCAGGTGCTTCTTCTTCTAAGAAAACAATCAAGCTGAAGAACATCATTCGTTCCTCTGGGCCGGCGGATATTACCGAATCTAGTGAGGACAGTGGCAGCATCCCTTGAGATGCAGTTATAGCTCTTTTGATAATTTTGGCTTCTTTCACCATGATAGTTGTATTTATTTATAGACATCTATTAGTGATTGATACTTTACTCTAACTCAGAGTTGTTGCTCTAATCACCCGTAGATATCTATTTTTGTAATCCTCTTTTGCTCTTATATTATTATCAATGATAGGGCTCGTTGTCCTATTTTACATTAAAAAAAAAAAAGAATTCATGACCGAACCAACCACCACCCCCCCAAAAAAAAAACCTCAAACTCAAGAAATTAAAAAACAAACAAATAAATTAACATACAATAAAGTTTCTCTCTACTTGTTGATTAATAGAAGACTTTAAATTTCAGGTCGGGTTTTGTGACACGAGTCCGAGTGGGATTTTGTGAGATAAAAAAGAGTTCAGGGGTTTATGTGCAAAAACACCCAAAAGTTCAAAGGTGTTTTATGAGATTAAATAAAAATAATAATAAAGAGCTCCCTCAAGGCCATACGTACGACTTAGAACAAAAATTATATTGATCCTAGGATTATTTGAACAGATATATTGCTTCCTTTGGAGCAAATAATTTATTGTTGAAACAGTAGCATGCAGTATAATTAGCCATCCCTCATTTCTGAGGGGTCCTATAAGGGCCTAAACCCGGGGTTGGGGTTGGAGTTGGGGGTGGGGGTGGGGGGATGCCACAGAGGGCCCTCCACGTACGGAATATCCTAGAAGCTTGTAGATTGTCGAGCATCACACGTGTCAAAGGCGTATAATTTCATATCTATTAAAAAAATAATTCACGCCGAAGCCTTATTCGCATATCTATTCCTCTATAATAACGAAAGGATCCAAGATTCACTTTTCATGCTACAATAATACCACAATAAATTACTATAGCACAAACAGGAGGGTCCAAATATCACTATTCATGCTACAATAAATTATTGTAGCATTATTACTGTAACGTAACGCGGGAACTGTAGCATTTAAAAACATCACTGTAGCATTATTGCTGTAGATCGGACGGGATGCTGTAGCATTTAAAAAATATTAATGTAGTACTTACAAAAATATATTTAAATACAAAATTACTATATCGAAAATAAAACAACGCAGGCCATGCTTTGTATGAGATGCATACTAGTTAAAGCTATAGAGGGTCAATTCATTGATAAGATATGTCAGATATCACTTTTTTACTTTCTAGGTACACTATTTTTACATTATATAGGCTCTAAACAGGATTATTTCAGTTTTTTTTTTTTTGTTTTTATAAGCCCAAGTTTTAGCTTGATTTATTTTTAAAACCAACCACTTCAAATATCCAAACCGGATTATTTTTAAATCGAAAATAGCTACTTTTACGCATTTCGTCAACTGAAATATGAACTGGATCTATAATATAAGTAATTTAGTATGGGTATTTCTGTTTTCCAAATAATTTTCGGAGTGGATGTCTATAAAAATAAATCGAGAGAAAAAAATGGGTTTATGGACAAAAGAGTAGAAGCGGAGAGCAGCAACGGAGATTTTATCGCATAATTAATAAGGATACATATCTATACAACCAGTCGCATATTAAATTGTATGCGACCTCAAATTTTCGTGGACTAAACCCCACGGTTTTTGCGGTTTTCGACCCAAAAAGACGTATCGTCCGCATAGAATTATTTCTATGCGGTAAAATTATTAACTTCTGGTTGTTCTGTTTAGAGTTTATTACCACACTGCCCTTGTATTCGAGAAACGGGGTATATTTCTTTTTGGACCCTTCGCAAATTCGTTTTTTACAGAGACTAATTCAAGTTATCTTGGCTTCATATGTTTTAAGAGTGTGTTTGGGAACTTGGATTTGGGCCTGGATTTAAAATTCAGGGTATTTCAAATCTAAATATCTAGTTTGGGTTCTAATTTGAACCTAGATTTTAAATCAATGGATTTAACAAAGTGGAATTTGAAAGCCCAAAACCCCTGATTTCAAATTACACCCCACCCTTCGTCATTTATCAAATCCCGACCCGATCTTTTAAGAAAGAGGAATTTTCGCGATCCCCTCTCTCTCTCTTGTTGGCCTTCTTATTTTGATGATGTTTAACAAACAATTTACTTCTAATGTTGTTTGTCTAGTGTTTGTATTTTTGTATTTATTCTAGGCAAACAACGAGTTGGAGGATGGATGGAATAGAGCTTCAACGATCATATCCAAAGGAGGTTGGCGGAATGTCGGTGAAGCCTTGCTATTCAAAGTTCAAGATCCAAGTTCAAGCTTTATCCGCGAGATTACCAAGTCAAGCTTATTGAAGATCAAGATCATTGCTTGGGTAATTTAGTTTAGGAATTTATATTATGTGTGTTAGTACTTTAAGCTCAATCATATACACACATACACGTTTTGGTTTTTGTATATATATAGTTATATATATACATATATATTTTGGTTTGATAGTTTTCAAGCTTTACTATGAAACAATTGAATATAATTAGAAAACATATTTTTGTTTCATACTCATATGCATATATAATGATTTCATCAATATCAATTTTAGTTAGTTAAATGAAATCATGTTTTAGTGCATTATATGTGTATTTTGATAAAATACTACATTTATTGTTTATAGACTTCATAACAATAGTTTACATCTTTCTACAAGTCTATAAAATCATTTTGTAAAGTTTTAAAAGTTGGTTTAGCCAAAATGTTAAAATTCACATGTTTATATTTTTCGTGTTTTGGACTATCTTGCAAAATGATGATATTTTTCATTTGGGAAGTCCTTTTTCAAAACCAGCGCTGTAGCATGTTTATTATCATGTCTACAATCATTCCCCAAAGTTTTACATTTTTTGGAATTTATTTGATATTTTTAAACAGTATTTTAAAATCAGTTTTCGGTCGACCGAACCGGTCGACCGAACCTGAGTTCTTGTGCTCACTGTGCGACAGAGAGTCTATCGATCGACCGGTCCGGTCGACCGAAAGCTCCATCGGTCGACCGCACCGGTCGACTGACGAAGTCTCTGCTTGTTTTTTGTTTTTCAGACCTGCTCGCGGTCGACCGGATTTTTTCGTCGGTCGACCGAATTCTTTTTTCGGTCGACCGAACGATCTGTCGGTCGACCGACAATAGATCCGTTAGACACTAACGACTATTTTTCTGAGCTGTCTTCTGGGGACTTTTCTGTCTTTTTGCTTGGGGTTTTTGGCTGAGTTGTGAGAGGGTATAAATACCCTATTGCTGATCTCTTCTCATATCTCTAAGAATGTTTTAAAAGAAGTTTTTAAATAAGGGTTTTAAAAAAAGTTTAAGCTTGTTTAAGCTTGTTTAAGGGTTTCGTTTAAGCTGTTTTGGTTTTCACAAGTGGAGGAGATTATCTTCTTGTTTGGGCTCCAATCTCCATCTCTCCGTCTTGATCTAGAACCGTGGAAGCATTCGATTAGGCAATCCAATAAGGTAAAGCATGCGTCTTTAATTTATAAAAAAAAAAAAAAAGCGTAATAGCTGCTTTTCCTCTGAGGCCCAGGCCCAGGCCCAATGCTGACAGATTCCCTTTTCATGAAAAAGAAGCAGAGTTGCCAATTTTTCGGTGCTTTTCCCGGGCCCCTCGAATCTAATTTAATTTCTCCTCTTTATTCCGGATAAACTAATAAGTATAACTTTCACAGCTCTCAAAACCTGGAACAATTAATGTTTTGATCAGTCCAACTGATCCTCTTTTCTAGGAAACAGATCTAGAATTCAGCTTTCCAATTTTTCCTTTAGGCTGCGTTTGGGAACTTGGATTTGGGCTTTGATTTAAAATCCAGGGTATTTCAAATCCAAATCTTTAGTTTGGATTTTGATTTGAGCTAAGATTTTGAATCAATTGATTTAACAAAAAGGAATTTAGAAGCCCAAAACAAGTGATTTCAAATTCCACCCCACCTCCTGTCATTTATCAAATCCCAACCCGATCCTCTCTTTCTTTTCAAGTCGCGATCCCCTCTCTCTGGTTTCGATCTCTCTCCCCCTCCCCCCGCCGCCGCCTCCCCCCTCCTGCCGCCGCCTCTCCCCCTCTCCCCCCTGCCTCTCTCTCTGGTTTCAAGTCCCGATCCTCTCTCTCTCTGGCTTTGGATTCAGGTAAGGACTTCATTCAGTTGTTTATTTGTTCTTTTTGATTCTTTAGGGTTTCGGTTCAGTCGATTTCTTTTCTCAGTTAATTGCTATAAGTCTGAGTAAGATCCCTTTTCGATTCACATTGTAGTTGTGAATGAAAGCTATAATTGTTTGTCAAAGCAAGAATTGATGAGAAAATTGAATTTCAAATGAATTACAAAAAAATTGGAAGATAAGAATGGAGAGAAATCTCCCACGAGCCTAGGAACCAGATTATTTCATTCCATTCAATTTTAACAATTGCTAAATGCATATTTATAAGATAAAAAAACAATTGCTAAATACATTGGAATGCTATTCTAAGCTGGGGGAAAAGAATCAACACTATCTAGTTCATACAATTTAGTTTTCTCTTATAATTTTACCAAGAGAATCATTTAAGTAGTCGGTTTTAGTTTGCTTTTTATAATTTTGTATAGCTAGCTACTTAAGCAATCGATTTGGGCCTTTATAGGTGAAATGTATAGGGGAATGTTAATGCCTGAAGACCTCTTAGCTGGCATGGATGAATGATAGATCAACATTGGGAGGGGAAATGAAAGAATCAATGAAAAATTTGTTGATCGTGAAAATGCCAAAATTGCATTTAGGTTCAGAAACTTTTTACAGGAAAATACATCAAACTTGCATATGCAGCCAATAAAGTTATAGAGAAACTCCTACATTAGTCTGGTTCCTTCCATTCTTTTATCTTTATCAGAAGAGCTTTTTCCATGGATAATGAGTGAAATGGCCCCATGATTGCTTGTAGGACTTTATTAAAGAGACTGTTATATGAATGGTTTAGGAGGTTTTGTTTTCTTTTTCCCCCTCTTTTTTTTTTCCTTTTTTGGGCCCAGTATAAGCATTTGATGGTAATTGTGTGTTTGCTCTGTGGAGAATGAATGCTTCCAATAACGTGCAATGCATGTTTTTCGTTAGAACTTGCTGTAATGATCGGTACATTTTGTTTGTGATATGTTCTTTCATCAGCTAATGTGGATAATTCCAAGTAGTGTTCTTTCTTTGAGAATTTACGACTGTGTTCAAGAGAGCAACTTTTTGGTCAGTGCTGTGGACTCAATAGCTCCTCGTCTTCGTACTGAGCCAAGGATCCCCCCTGGCCACTAGATGGATCTGTTACTCGCTCATGGACAGTCTACAAGATGGGGTTAACGCTGATAGTTTTATTCAAATTTTTATTGTTTTTTTTTTCAATAAGCTAGACAGGTAGAAAGAACCTATTTAGGGTCTATAGGGTCTAAAATCTATCTAGTACTTCTGTATTGAAAATGTTCACTGCAGAGCGAAGGTACATATATCAACTTCAACATGATCCTATCAGATTAAAGGTTTAATATGAGCTTGAATCTCACTCATATCATGTCTGCAGTACTTGGTTGGCTCTCTAGTAAAAACTGGTTTGTCAAAATAAAGATTGGGCCTTGTCTAATACTTGGAAACCATGTTAATTTATGATAATATAGCATGTTCAAAAGATTTATTCTCTTTCCACGCCCTTCATTATGTTGAACACTTTTCCTCCTGCTGCTCTGGGTTTCTAGTCAGATATACTGCCTGATATGGCGAGTTAAAGATGATTATTGTTTTGATGTTGTAGGGTTACATATGCCAAGGTGATGCTTTAATGGCCATGGAGGAGTGGGCTGCTGCTGAGGAGGCCTATTCAAATGCTCTGCTGATTGATCCATCTATTCATGGCCATGGAGGAGTGGGCTGCTGCTGAGGAGGCCTATTCAAATGCTCTGCTGATTGATCCATCTATTCGCAGATCAAAATCATTCAAGGTACCTTGAGGAGGCCTATTCAAATGCTCTGCTGATTGATCCATCTATTCGCAGATCAAAATCATTCAAGGTACCCCTCACCCTTCTCATAAACGTATTTTTGTTACTTTAAATAAACTCTTAAGTCCATCTAAATTTAAGCCACTTCTCTTGTCTCAGGCTAAGGTCACGAAACTTCAAGAGAAGCTGGTGGTTTCTGATGCATCATCCTGACTGCAATTGTGAGTTTCTGTTTGCATCATCTTTTGATAACTAGAGATTAATAATCATATTCGATTACAGTAATCTTCACAGTTCAGATAGGACTTCTAATCTATGAGGTTGTTCGTATCTTTGTTGGGCAAATTTTCAAAACCATCATGTTTGCCAAAAAATTCCAAAAAAAAACTCATTGCAAACTTAATTTAAAAAACCGACCCAGTTGGCTGAAACTGGGTCGGTTTTTGAAAAAAAAAAGTTTTCAAACTTCATGGGAGTTGAACTCCCCTGAAGTTTTGTTATATAAAAAACTTCACGGGACTTCAACTCTCGTGAAGTTTCAAATTTTTTTTTTCAAAAAACTGACCCTGTTTCAACCAACTGGGTCGGTTTTTGAAATTAAGTTTGAAATGAGTCTTTTTTTGGGAATAAAATTCAAAACAGGTCGATTTTAAAAATTTGTCCTATCTTTGTTGGAATATGTCTTATGTAATTTTCCGGGTTTCCATTCTTGATAGTCTTTACCCTTAAGAAATCTGAGTATATAACTTGTACAACATGTAATTTATATGAATTGCGTTGACTTGGTAATATGTACATTGATAAACAGAACATTTTCCTTGTATCTCTGCCACCAGAGAGCTTGTAAAGTGCATAAAATGATTTGATTTTGAATAGATTTTTCTTTGTGGAGGAAATTGCCTACAAGCTTTTCAGTGGTCCTTATGGACTAAAGATGGACAGCTGCAGAATTTTCTATAATTGAGATCATTCATTTATATTCTTTATATCCCTTTCTTATGTCCAAAGGAGCTTGGCAAGTTGTTCTCCGTTAGATTTATGTTGAAACTACATTGATTGGTAAGCAAAATGAAAAATCCTGCTGTTAATGAAATCCTTGGGCATCTCAGTTCCATAATGGAAATTGTCGACTTCAAGTTGTTGACAATTAAATTTATACTAGTTTAGACGGATCACCTCTTGGATAATTTGATTAGTTATGAAACATCTGTGAGTGGTTCATTGGTTAAAAGACCGGTCAGATAAGTATCAGTCAGAGGTATAAAAAGTTAAAAACATGCGGCAAATCCAATTTTTCAGAAACACAATGCGTATCGTTTATTTTTTTTCGCCTTCAAAACAAATTGAACCCCTGCCCTTCCGTCTCTGAGATCCCTTCCAATCCAATGTGCATGCGTAGTGTTACTTTATGTGAAGTTAATTGTTGCTGTTTTCAAGAGTACCTTGAAACATCATGACTGGAAATATTCAGTGTGCTTTTCTCATAAGCAGTCTCAGGCTTTTCTAATGTCAACGTTATGGGTTTTTTTTTGCAGGTCAATCGTGATATTGTGCTGAGAGTGCTTGTGCTTTGGTCTCACCTTTTTCGGTTCTCACTGTCATTTGATATAGCTTGCTGCTTTGTCGAATGATTCGGTTTGATGTTATTTGGGCTTCCCTGTTCTCTGAGCTTATTGCCAGAAGTAGAAGGAATTGTTTTTGTATGTTGACAAATGATTCCTGTGAAGTTTCATGAGGACAAATGATTCCTGTGAAGTTTTTTACTTTTGGTGTTTGCATTGGTGAGCTGATATATTGTACTGAATGTGGTTGTGCTTTGGTCTCACCTTTTTTGTTTCTCATTGTCACTTGTGGTGTTTGCTTCTATGGTGAATGATTGTGACTTATAGTATACTTTAATATATTGGCATCTGATGGTTTGTGGTTTGGTACATTTGCTCTTTTATTGGATGTCTTTGTGAAAGATACTAGTGGAGAGTATATCAAAGTGATGTCCAAGTACGTTAACGGAAAAATTGAAAGATACTTGATATGTTTGTAGAGTTTTCTTCATTTTCATTTTGTTGAAACTCTTGCAAGTTATGGTGGGCAATGAATTGAAAACTTAGCAAATGTAGCTATCATTGCCAAAATTACATAAATTTGTGTTTTTTTGTTACTATTTTACACATCTTCATTGCATTTGATGTAAACAAGATGAGTTAAGAGAATAAATTTTCATCAATTTTAATTTTAAATTCATGTATAATAAAGTACCCAAACACTAGATTTTGAAATCAAAGATTTCAAATCCTTTCATTTAATAAAGATATCCAAACAAAAGATTTCTTAAATCATGAATTTCAAATCCTAAATTTAAAATCCCTTGATTTTAAATCAACTTCCCAAATCCAAATCCAAGTTCCCAAACGCAGCCTTAGTAACAATGGTTACCATGGTTAACATTTTCCTGGTCCAGTTCCTTTCGACTTACAACCCCCGGTGCCTTTTGCCCATCGAGTTATTGGTTAGAAAGCTGTACATGGACAATTGTCATATGTGTTTCGGCTCCTACCAGAATGTCTAGTGGATGTGTTATAGTTTCTATTAGACACTTGAAGATGGGTTGAACTGCTGCAGTGAGTATTTTTCATTCACCAACTCAACGTTATATGTACATCAATAAACTTAGGCATACCTGAGCATTCACAACTTAACATATTAGAACTGCAAATAACATAAACAAAACTCGAATTACAATTATCCCCTCTTTGTACTTATCTGGAATTGGGTTATTGTATATAACTGAAAGAATAGAAGCTTGAATCATCTTTTAATACACATAATTATGCCAAGTGATACTGTATTGTATTTTTGCATCTATTGCCATGAATGAATACACAGTCTATTTGAACATTTTCTTACTGAGTGCTAAACTTCATCTGTATAGATCTCTATTTGTTTTTTGTTTTTGTTTTTTTTTCTTTGTTATAAATTGTTATCTGTATGCTTCACACAATTGTTGCTTGCATGGCAGAATGTGTTTTTGAGCTTTCTGCCATCAATGTATATAGGATACAATCTAATGAAAAGGGGTCCTTAGATATACCTCATGTCCCAAGAATGTTGATTGAATATATTGTTATTAATGGCAACAAGAGGATTGATTTTTACATTTTATTAATCACAATATTTATATGTAGTTATTAATAGTGTTAATCAATTTTTTCTTTCTCCAGACCATATAATAAATGGCGGAAAACAGAGATTGGATGTATAATGCTCCTAGAGTGAGTGTGGAGTTCATTAATAATGTCAATGACTTTCTTGAGAGAGAATTTGCTAATGGAGCAGTAGGGGATGAAATATGTTACCCTTGTCGCATTTGTTGTAATCGTTTTTGGTATAGTCCGGATATTGTTTATGATCACCTTATTGTCAAAGGATTTGTGGAGAATTATTATGATTGGTTCTTTCACGGAGAGGGTGTGTCATCAAGGATGGATGTTGTTGAAGCTGATGATGCTTAAGACAACCTGGATGGGTTATTGCATGATGTATTTAGAGATGTAGCAGAAGAGTCTCCAGTGAACCAAGAAGATGGCCTAAGTGACCATGAAGAAAGGTTAACAAAGGAGGCAAATAATTTTTATAAGTTAGTTGATGAAGGTAAGCAGCAGTTGTTTCCGGGATGTAAAACTTTTTCTGAACTCTCTTTTATCATCCGGTTGTATCTTCACAAGTGCATCCATGGCCTAAGCAACTAGGCATTTGATGATTATCTAACCATATGGAGAGAGGCAATTCCTGAAATAAATCTACCAAAGTCTTATTATGAGGCTAAAAGAATCGTGAAGGATTTGGGCCTTGATTACAAGAAGATACATGCTTGCCCTAATGATTGCATGCTTTACCGTGGAGAAGATGGAGAAAAAGTTGCTTGCAGTAAATGTGGTGAAAGTAGATGGAAGGCAAATAAGCAGGGTGTTCCAGCCAAGGTTTTAAGGTATTTTCCTTTAAAACATAGCGTTCAAAGACTATTCATGTGTTCTCAGAGTGCTGAATCCATGAGCTGGCATGCAAAAGAGCGCCTCCAGGATGGGAATCTAAGGCACCCAGCAGATGGCAAAGCATGGAAGGATTTTGATTCCAATCATCCTGATTTTGCACTAGACCCTCGTAATGTGAGGCTGAGCTTGGCTAGTGACGGGTTTAATCCATTTCGGACTATGAGGAGATGAAGAAACAACATTGATCCATGCGATCAAGTCCCTGAGTCAATTGTTCAAGCAATAACAAAGAAGGTGGTGGCCACTCAACAAGAGGAGATGAAGAAACAACAAGAAGCTCAAGCTACAAGTATGATTCAAACATTTGCAGAGATGTTGAGTGAAGTAACTGGACGTCCGGTTAGCCAAAGCTTTGTTGAGAGGTTTAAAGCGCGTACTAGACTTCCTGAAGAGGCTGCTAGTGTTCTAGATCATGATAGTGCATGCTCTTTGCAAACACACAAGAGTTAAATGAGAGTACCTTTTACACTTGACATTTAAGGCAAGTACCTTTTACACTTGACATTTAAGGCAAATGCCTTTTACACTTTCTGGATTTTGTGACTTTTTCTTTTTGATTCTTAAAAAAAAAAAACAAATTTGCCCACAGGTACTGTCTCATTGTTTTTCATTAATGAGCAGATGGATTGAATACTCTCTGCATACCAGAAGTCTTCAAAACAGTGGTGCTTCACACTCAACAAGCAGCTAGCTCAAGGTGTGAACTTCTTCTCTACTTTCTTTCTGTTTATTCCTGACATGTTTCAAGTATTATACTATGGACAAATTTTCAAAACCAACCCATTTGATAAACTATTCCCAAAAAAAGACCCATTTCGGTTTTATTTGTAAAAACCGACCTGGTTTCAGCCTCAGCGCTGAAACCAGGTCGGTTTTTGAAAAAAAAATTCCCGAAACTTCTTCCGAAACTTCACGGGAGTTCAACTCCCGTGAAGTTTTGTTATGTGAAAAAACTTCACGGGAGTTGAACTCCCGTGAAGTTTCGTAAAGTTTTTTAGAAAAACCGACCTGGTTTCAGCGACAGTGCTGAAACCAGGTCGGTTTCTCTAAATAAATCCCAAATGGGTCGTTTTTTGCAATTAGTTTATCAAATGGGTTGCTTTTGAAAATTTGTCCAAATAAATCCCAAATGGGTCGTTTTTTGCAATTAGTTTATCAAATGGGTTGCTTTTGAAAATTTGTCCATTATACTATTCATGTTATTCGGAGAAGAGTATGATGCTGGACAATGGGGTTTAGCTTGTTTCCTTGTCGTAGTATGCATGTACTGTGTAGAGCATGTTCAAGCAGCTTCCTCTATATATATAGGAGCGGATGTTTTGCAGAAAGCCAATCATTTTTATTGCCATAATTTTGTTGCTTCCTCTTATTAGCTGCTGTTAAATCTTAAAATGTTTTGTTACAAAACCGGGCAACCGGCGTAACTATTTGTGAATTTATTCCTTTCCCATTGTTCAAGACTAATATTTATGCTACAGTTGAATATCTAGAAATTAAAGAGTCCATGGTTGATGTGACTTTGGTTGGTGCATGCTTGATGTAAACCCGCAGGTTGAATATTTAGCACTGTTAAATTAAATGTGAAAGGTTGGCTCTTGTACATCTAGGATTTTGTGCTTCTAACGTCTTGTTGCTGCGTCTTTGTCCCCCTCTTTTTTGATGATAATGGGTTTTAAAAAAAGTCGAGGTATCTTTCACCTGCTGCAGACTCACAGAAATCCAATTTGGCCCGACCTTTACCTTTCCCCATACTTCTTTGATAATTCATGTTGGTAGTCAGGATTGTGTTTGGGTTATTTCTATTATTTCTGTTTATTCTCTTTGCTATAGCCTTCTGGAAGCAAGCTCCTTTAAAATATTTGTGATTCTTCCTTTTTCTGATGCTCCTTCTGTTTATTCTCTTTGCTACAGCATTTGGGTTATTTGCTCTTCTGTTAATAGCTCATTGAAAGTGAGACTAAGATGTTTAAACAATATTTTATCTTTGCAGTAAATTGTGAATCTGAGGATCATGGTTTGGACTTTGAAGAAACTGTAGCCACTGTTTTGCTCAAATGGAAGTGGTTTTGATGTAGGTGAGTGATTTTCTCTCTCTTTTTTAATATAAAAGAGAAACTGTAGCCATCTGAGGATCAATTGTCTCCTTATTTACCAATGTTACTTGAGCTTTTTTTTCCTTGTAATGGTTAGTTTAAAAAAGTTTGTTGCTAACATGATATTTGATACGTTTCTTTATTTTTTGTAGGGGATATAAAGACTTAAATAGGCGAATGCGACCAAGATGACTTTGATATATGAATCTTTTGGAACAGACTTGTACTTTTGAATTGATCATATTTTGATGGTTGTGAATTGATCATATTTTGATGGGTTGAAGTTATCTTGTAACTACTTATTTTTAAATGATGGGCTTAAAACATATGAATGCTTCATTATTTTTCATTTTGATGATATCTTAATGTAGTGTGTTCTTATTCCATTTTTATTTTGGTTTACGTAACTGTGTTTGCTTATTGGTCAAATTTCTTGAAAAGTGCTGATATAGCCCTGTAAAACTGTTACCGTAGCCCTATAAAACTGTTGCCATAGCAAAGCAAAACGTCGCATTAGCTACAAAATAAATGTTGCATTTGGTCCTGATTTTGGAAAAACCGCTGCCCTTGTGTATGAAACCGCGACAATAGGTATCAAGAAACCATCGTTTGCAACTGTTGCATTTGCAATAACTGTTGCCTTTGTGTATGGAACCGCTACATTAGGCATAAGTAAACCGCTACAGAAAACGTTGCATTTTGTGAAAAATGTTGCGTTAGCCTTGTCTTAGAAACCGTTGCGTTAGGTTTTGCAACCGCTGCCTTATGGCTAGGGCAACGGCAGCAATG